TTTATTGTTTCATTTTTGATTTATAAAATTTTAAAATTATATAACATTAGTGTGGTTTATAAATGACAGCCACTATAATAAAAATATAAACGTAAATTATATTTAATTAAAATAAATTCATTTAATATACGTATAATATTTAAGCCAATGTATTTTTAATTTATATTATTAATAACATTTTTAAACATAATTATACGAAAAAAGTATTTATCACTAATTCAATTATTATTATTTATATATGGTAAGTAGATCACATGTGATAAACAATTTCCCAGAATTTAAAGATCGCGTTTATTTGTCCGTGTCTACGTGCCTTCTTCAGTAAATTGCTTTTTGATTTGTTTTTCGTTCTGATCCCATAACATAATATATTGACTGATAACTTAATTATAAATGATCTTGCCTGTTGAAAAAAGTAAGAGTAGTATTCGAGGAGCATTTATACTCTTTGAAGGTTGTGACCGCGCCGGAAAGTCAACACAAGCGGCAAAACTGTTCGAGTCTTTGGATGCTCTTGGAGTGCCTGTTAAACTGTGGAAATTTCCGGGTATGTTTTTGAAATTATTTGATAGACAAATATCGTAAATCGCGTTATAAATCTTTTGAATTTTTTAGACAGAACAACTCTAATTGGACACATGATCGATAAGTATTTGAAAAGCGGACATGACTTGGATGATAGAGCAATTCATTTACTGTTTTCGGCGAACAGATGGGAGTGCAAGTAAAAAAAATCTATTATTGTGTTATTCGCTTATGAAAACAAACGTTATGATATTTAATCATCTCACCTTTATAAGATCTGTCATGAAAGATATCCTTCTTGACGGTACAACATTGATAGTAGATCGATATGCATACTCCGGCGTCGCATATTCAGCAGCAAAGGTAGTGTTACCTATTTAATGTTCTAAGTACTTGACTGTCTTTAACAACTACCCACCTTTGCTTTAATAATCATATTAGGATCTTGAGTTAGAGTGGTGTAAATCTCCGGATATCGGATTATTAACACCAGATATTGTTTTCTTTATGGACATGAAAGCAGAAGAAGCTGCAAAAAGAGGCGGATTTGGGGAAGAACTATATGAAAAAAAAGAGTTCCAAGAAAAAGTTAGAGATGTATTCATGTTGCTCAAGGAGCGTACATGGGAGGTAAGCTTCGGTACAAAAGGTTGTGATTTTTCAAATAGCAACATAATCTAATATCTCATTGTACAGACATTGGATGCACGAAAATCCGTAACCGAACTTTATGAACATATTGGAAAAATGTCATTGAAGATAATTCAAGAGTGTAAAGGACTACCATTAAAAGAAGACTTGTGGAAATCATAAATTTTATTATCAATAACATTTTTTGAATTACATGATGAATTCCTTAAAACTACCAAAGTTTTAACTTGTCACTCTTACTCCTTCCGTATATGCCTACTAATGCTAGGCCTGCTGCTAATAACCATACCCAAATATGGTCGAATTGACTTCTTACCCAGTCAGTCTGGGTACCACCTAGAGCGGTGAGGTAAACTAAAGACACTAACACGTATCCTGAGATTCGATGGTACTTATATAGTCCTCTTGCTTTGGCCGCTCCTCCTACCAAACCAGGAAAATTGGCTAATATCGATCCTCCAACTGTTTGGAATAAGAGATACACGAATGTAAATACCCCAAATTTCCCATGAGGGGATGTAACTTTAATGATAAAGAATACATTAGTTAGGGTAGTTAAGCGGGCATATAGTATTAGACATTTGACTTACAATGTTCTTTGTTAGTACTGCTTTTATGTGTGTAAATAATGGTGAATCCTCCGATGACACTTAAAAAGACAACGGTTTGTATGATTTTGTGCCATAAAAGCCCTTTCTCTCTCTCTTCTTTTCTTACTGCAGTTTGGAGAACAAGGACGCCTAAAGAGAGAAATTAACACATGTTTATTTCTCATAACAATACAATAAAAAATGTGATCGTATAATTCATTTCACCGAAAACCGAAAGTACCTTGTGTGATGGATAAAAGGACCAAGGCCATCAACGTGGGATGCCAAATAAAAAATTCATATTCTGCATCAAAAACGATGTACCATACGGTACCGGCGAAAAGAAATACTCCGCTACTAGCAACAAGTGAAAAGATGAAGGACATGTTTATTTTTGTTGGCCCAGTTAATGTTGGGATTTGTAACGATTGTTCAGTTGGTTGAATGCCATTTTGATCGAGTAGGGGGCTTTGTGAATCGTCTAAATTAGTATTTGGCATTACCATTTTTGATACTTAATACAGTAAGTATGAATTCAAGGTTAAAAAAAAACAGTATGAAAAGAAGAGAGAGAGAAAGGGCTTTTATGGCACAAAATCATACA